CACAATGCGGGCTCGTTATACAGATGGTTTGTTTGTTTGTTTGCGGATAGTGTCGTGAGGCAGCGCCGCGCCGCGGGGTGTCGCGCTGTCACAACACCACCAACACTACCCGGAAATGTAAAAACGGCGCGAGCGCACGCGGTCGCGACTTCAGCGGTAATGCTATAAAATTTATTGGTTCCCGGAGAGCGCATGCGCGGATAGCTTTATGGAGCCCGTGGCTACGATTCACGGAAACAATGTTAGAACTGTGCATGTCGCTGACGGCCCCTGAAATGTGACAAATTTATTGCATCACGAAACGGTTTCGGCTGCCACAAAAAATATACGACAAGTTTTTTTTTTATTTATTTTCTTAGGAGCTTTTAATTGTACACGCTAAAATCGTTTGACACATTTCACTAAACCTATTAAAGTATAATTTATTGTTTGTTTTGAAAGCAGATGTTAATTTGAGTGTCAATAAAAAACGCTTCATAATATAACGGGCGTCAGAAAAGATGGCAAATCGGTTTTAATACCAGCCTTGAACCCACATTTTTTCTCTTTAAATTAATTTAACAATAGGTAATTCATTTCTTAGACGTACTCGACTTCTTAAAGGATTTCGTTAATTTTTCTGTGGAGGTATAATAGTACCTGTGAAGGTGACACTCGTAGGATATGAAGAGAAACATTAACTTTACAATAATGAGATCATGAGAGGAATACAGGACGAATACCGAACGTGGGATTTCTTCCGCTCATTCTACTCTATTTTGCTGCTGCTAAGAAATAGATTAAAGATTGTATTTAAAGCTACCGATGCCACTGAATAAAAGTTCGACTTGTAGTATGCGAGTGGTGGGTGAGTAGCGTGGATGGCGTGCGTTCGCGGCACACACTGTGAGTGCGCGTGTTATCTGAGCGATAGCGCGCGCAGACACACCGTCTGCTCCCGCGCCCGCGCCTGCGCCTGCCCGCCGCTGCTTTCTATTATAATTGTACTCCCACCTGATAGCGAATATGCATTACGGTGGATAAGATATCGCACACTCTTTTGATTGGATACGTTTTATCTAAAAGAAATATGACGTATGGTTTTTTACTAGAGTTGTAGGTCACCACGTGTGTATCTGGCTAGAAACTATAGTGACTTGGATAGGTACTCGGAAAATTCTGATAGTTCTCTTCTCCGGTATCTTGCTGAAGTATGACTGTAAACTTCGGTTACTCGAACGTTCTCTGCATACAAATTGAAGAATATAATTGCGGTTAATTGATATTAAATAAATAATAAATAACTCTAGTGAAAACTAGTATTATCATTTTGACAGAAAGTTTTTTGTGTACAAATACATTGCGTGATATTTTCGTCAATTGTCAGTCTGGTCAGACCTAAAGGTCATGCATGACTTATTTATCAGTTAAAGTACTAACACAAAATCCATTAAGTTTACAAAAACTAAAGCAGACAGTATACTATTGCAGTTGCAGTTTTTATTTATTTTAATATTTCAGTACCAATTTTTTTTTAAATATAGTTTTGTGAGGTGTTCGATGCTTAGGCAAATGAATAACAGGCTGACTAAGCTTGAGAACTCAGTTTAGTAGAAGGTAATAAAAAAGAAACCCGTTTCTGGGTTTCCGTAATAGGTAGAACTTTAGGAAATATTTCACGAAGGTCTACGTTTAAATTATAATAACATTATTATTATTAGATTTATACGATTAAATTTTTGTGTTTCATCATCATGTTCTCACCAGATGATTTGTTTATGAACTGACATTCATAAAGAGCGTATTGGATTAGTCAAAATTTCAAATTACGAAAGGTGAATAATAAAAATAAATGAAGATTATTGAAGATCAAAGACAAAAAGTTTGCATGTGGAATCCTAGGACGAAATATACGGTGGTATGACGCAGCGTTACAGTTTAGCTTAATTTTAACTTTAAAGAACACTGACCAAATACGGTTTCATTAAAAATAATTTACATATTTTATTAAGGTTAAAAAAAGGTAATTTAAAAAATACAAAATAATGGGGAAAATGTTCTTTTTCCACCTACGGGAAGCTCAATCATACACTGGTAACTCGGGTAACATTGACTATAATTTAAAAATGGAACTAACTAAAAATAGAACTAAAAATGAACAGTTCTGTGAACAGAATATCGTCCAACCGAGCGCTTCCCCGGCGGGAATGAAAATTTTGTATTGCCAAGCCATAATACAACTTGAATCTTAAATTTTTATTTCTTTCGTTTTCAAGCTTTTGGTTTTTTTTTATATTTTATCCTTTAGTTGAGCAGTTTGTTATGGAAACAAGTTATATATATTCAGAATGTACTCATAACTACTTTTGATTTAATTATACCCATATTGCTATAGTTCATAAATCTACGGAGGGAGATCTTATACTTAGAAAAACTGACCAGAAACTTAGCAAGAGCTTATCTTTTTAAAAATATCTATTTGTGTAGTATATTGAGAATGTGGAATATCCTAATTACTCAAAAGCAGTTTTATTTTCACTGTTTCCTTTCATACAACACTTAACTCGCATAATGACTTCATTAGTTTAACGAAAGTAATTTGCATTCAGTAGTCGTTATGAAAAGTATACATTATTCATTTTTTATGAAACGAATGAATAATAACAATTTAAAATTACGAATGTGAGCCGTGTGTACCTAATAAGCACGTGGTTTTACTTGTTTTTAATGTTTGCATTAAATTTTCATAGAGAAAATAAACAAATATGTAGTTTATAAAGTAATCAATTAAAAAGCCTCCCTATGCAAAAAAGCCTACAAAAATTTTCACTAGTGAAAAGACATGAATGAAAAGACATCAACGCAGCACCACCTCGCTACAAGTGACTACGTATTCGATATTATGAGCTTTACTATTGATTTGATGAACTTAAAATGTGAAAAAATTGTTATGATTGTGGAAATATAAAAGACAAGGTTGGTGTTATGGACTCCGCAGTGAATATTGTGGGCAGCGAAGGGCGATGCCGCGAGCGAGGGGCAGAGTATGTGAGTAAATATATGTATGTAGTGGTCCTGCCTGATCGAGATTGGTCTTCCCGAAATTGATGAAAAACGAAAAGGACAATGGTATGTATGCGCAAGCGCGGCGGCGGGCGGCGGGTGCGCGCGCGCCGCCTCGCCAGTCATCGTCGAGCTGTCGGCGTACGCGCACGTGTCCGCGCTCTATACACGTACAACATGTTACACGACTCGTGGCCCGGTGCCTGGCGTAAGCCTGAATACTTCGAAATCGACGAGTATATTTCTGAGGTGCACGACATGTGTTTAAAAGCAGGTCAGTCCCGATATCTTGAAAAGGTTCAATTACTTAGTTAACGTGTAGTGTATTCGTAACTCATGTCTACTTTCATTGAATGTTTTTTTTATATGTTATTGAAGAAATTGCGACTACAATATGTTCCATTCGGTTAGATGGTGTGTGAAGTGTACCAATTATATAGTGTCGGGAGGATGGTGTACGATAGCCGTGCGGTTACAACTCGCTTCGTTTATCTGAGCGGCCTTGTCCGGATCTTTATCTGAATTTCATTCATGTGTTTTCATTATTATCAGCGCTTGGTATCGAATGTTTCGCATCATCGGTTGTAGGTGAACTTCTATAAATTAATGATTTTATTTACTCAGATAATTTTAGAAATATTTTATGACTCGAGACTTACAATACAAATCTATTCCCTTTTTTATTTTACCTATTTTTTTTGTGTTTCATATGCTTTGGAGACTGTTATTACTTGATTATAAAATAACTTAATTTTTTTTTCTAATAACAAACGTCACAATTTACAAAACGTCATGTTTCATGTTGTGGTAAAGTAGAACTTCACAATTCACACCGCGCCCTGTTTCAATAACTGAGAGCAGCCACAATTATTTACTTAGAAATACTAACTTGTTATAGGTTGTTTAAGTTTTCTTTTATATAAAAATTATTGATATGAAAAATCCGACTTAGATAAATTGTAGGTATAAATTATACTAAGAATGGAAACGTTTAAATGTTGGTACAAACATACATTAGAGGTACCTATTGTCGAGTTGTGACCTAATTTTCTAACTGCGGTCCATAGATCATTTCATTATTGATTTACAAACGAAATGGTTATTGTAATTACTCAGTAAAGTAACTCAATTATAATTACTTTGTTTACAGTTTTATGAACCAACAAGATATGTAAACAAAATTACTTAATTAGATACATTAGGTGCCATTACTCTCGCATTTCTTTTATAGACGTTTAATTACAACTCGAACCTTTGTTTTCTTATAATTATGATGTCGTTTATTCATATGTCGAGGCCCGGGTAGTTCTATATCTATTAGTTTAATGGAAACTGACCTCGTAATCCAATAAAAGCAGTCGTTGTTGACATAATGTTAGTATTGATTTGGTAATGGCACAATTTTTGTGAATGGTATTACTACTGTACAACCGTAACATGTCATGGCGGGGAAAAATATCGAACGGTTCATAAGTACTTTTGAAAAGTATATTTGGATAAACATTATTTCAATCCTAATAAAAAAGTATCCTGCCGCGCGTGTCTATCTATATATATATCAACGTTTCGATATGTAATATTTTTAGATGACCATCGAACGTGTGAGAATTTTGCGAGTTAATTTCTACAAATTGTATCGTTCGCGAACGAGTCGCGTCGTTGCGCGTGGACGGCGGCTCGTACACACGATACCATCGGATATAACATTAGAAAGTGAGCGCGCGCAGGCGTAGACAGGAACGCGAGCGCCAATAGGATCCGACGCTCCCGTCACTGACAGCGCGTGTGTTTGTGTGCGTGCAGAAGGCGAGGCGGAGTGCGGCGCGGAGGGCGGCGAGGCGGAGAGCCCGCCCCCCCTGCCGGCGCTCGGCTACGCCCACGCGGCGGCGCTCTCCCCGTCCCACTCGCGCAGCTACCAGGAGCTGAGGCCGGCGGCGCACGCGGCACACGCGCGCGACATGCACGCCTACGCGCACCTCGAGGAGGTGCTGTTCAAGCCGTCCCCGACGAGCGGCGGCGGCGGCTCCGGCGGCTGCGGCGGCGGCGGCGGCTCCACGGACGGCGCGTACCTGCGCGGGCGCAGCCCCGAGCTCACGCCGTCGCCGGAGCGCCGCGACGAGTACCGCACCGCCGCCGCCGTCCACTACGACCCCTACCCGCCGCCCCCGCCCCCGCCACCGTACACCCATGAACACCATCACATCGACGGGTGAGTCCGATGATGGTTATTCATATTCGACGGTATCATTGTTTTAAATATCTTTATAACGTTTCCTAGAAAAAAGAGAGACAAATTGTCTCAATAATTGGTTATTTAATTTAGATTTGTATTAGATATAGGACTAACGACAATAACGACTCATATCTGTCTCTCAGAAACTCGATCAAATCAAGATAGGTTAATTATACCTAATTCTTTACTCATAAAGAAACTTATTTTCCGCAAATTTCCGCACTAGATTTACGTTGTCTTGATATAAAGTTGCAGTAGGTATAAGTCTATTAGCATTAGTACTTGTTCTTATATATTAAAAAATGTTTTCAATCAAAAACAAAACGCAGTAACGGTACATAATAATCCACCAGATCAGATCTGAGAAAGAAAGAATTGTAAAAAAATACTCGTCAGAAATTATTAACATATCAATAAGCAAACCAGTTAACAATATGAATAAGTGTGTATGTCGTTATAGATGTCACGTGTCCTCAGCCTCTTAATTGCAATCACCATTAATTTGCTTTTTATAATTTGAATGTGATTTAACGATGCACGAATTCCACTCAGTTTTCTTCAAATAACCCTTTACAAGAACAAATAAATGACTAACTGTTTATTTGTTCTTCAAGTTTTCTAAGGACATTAATGTTTCGTTGTATATGTAGGTTTTTGCCAAATATCGTAATATGAGCAAATCAATATTAATATATAATATTGGCAGTAAGTTGCCAATATCTATTATGTTTAACCTTTGTTATTTATTACATCATTGAAGTTGTTGATGGTGAACACAATAAAGGTATATATTTCTATAGACACGACCCCTTCACTTAGACTTACACACGGCACATATCTGATGCGCATCGCATGGTCCGTTACATGTATTATTATGCATATAGAAATTATGTTTTCATAGTTATACGTAAATATTCCATGGTATGAGCATTATATTCTAACATTTTCTGCAAATCGATAGGTATAAAAACATTATTTTTTGATATCGGTTATCTGTATCTACTCCACAAGTTATGAATTCTAAATTGGACCTAAGTGTAGTGTTTTTTTTTCTTCAGTTGATTAATTCACGCCGATCGGTTGTCATTGTTGGTTTTTCAAACTATTACCAATCCGTAGGTTCCAAAATTAATTCTTGGTTCTGTGTAAATAATGATTTTTTCTATAGGTTATTATCTTGTGACCGGTTACTCTAGTATCTTCGTTTTTGTCGATTTCCATAATATTAGGAGTTTAGTTACTTAGGTTGTGATGTAATATGTTGTCTAATATTTATTTATTTCAAATTGACTTTGGAGTTTCCAAAAAGTAGAGAAAAAATCAAAAGTTTATTTATGTCCTATAAAATGTCTAAATATTACATTTCATGGTTTTATCTTGAAAGTTGGCTGTCAATGACGACCGTCCATACAAGGTTTAATTCCCTTTCTCATCCCATTTAAAGTCTTTATTGCGTTAAAAGCTTACCTATGTCCATTCTCAAGTTCAACTCGGTTCAGTGGTTCAGGAGTAGAAGACCGACAAATAGACTTACTTTCATATTTATAATATAAGTGGGGATTAATTAAACCATTTCCCTTGTCACTTATCGTATCATGTAGTAAGAGATCCTCAGACACTAACTCAAATAAATAGATAAAGAACTAAATGCCACAATTGCTTAGTCGAATTTTAATTTGCAACACTCTTTATAGTTCAAATTGAGGAGATTTTGTGTAAACAAAAGAAAAAGTTGTGGTTCATATATTAACAGAGCCAACTGTTTAAACTATCCGTCAAATTAGGTAGCTTGTACTTTATTTGAATGGCGGTATTCAATTGCACGGCTAACGTCGACCAGCCGAACAGTCCGAATACAGCGTTATGTCATCACTTTTTCATTGAAGTTTTGTTTAAAATATATTCCTCTGAATCACTCGTATTTACTATCAACACACTGGCAAATTATTTTCTCTTCTGTTGCAAAGAAAAACAAAAATTAAGAAAAAGGCGAACACAAGACACCGCACTACAAAAAAGCTATTTAACCTAATTTGAAATACTAATGAAATAAAGAAAAACAATGTACGAGTTCTTATTTGAGTCACAAAAGTCTACGCAAAATTCTTGGAGCAGACAGTGCAACTGAGAATACATTTAATCATCTAGTATAGCTCAAACTTGTATAAAAACTTGCAGTAGGTATACAATAATTGAAGTTTTAAAAATGTACAGTATCATCTTTTAAAGATATCGGGATAAAATAATATATAAAGTCAAATCTCACCGCCCGTTGCACAAACGACCATTCAAATTGTCATTAATTTAAAGAAACATTATCGATACAAATTTTCCAGTCTAGAACATTCATTAGAACTTAAAGTCGTCAATAAGCCTTAATGTAAGTTTGTGCAACTCGGCCTTAAACTAATTAAATGACAATTTATCATAGCTATAGAATCAAAAACAATGAACTTTCACCAAAACAAAATTTTCGACGTATTATTTCCAAAAATCCAATTCTCTTAGATTTTTGAAAGATGAACATAATTTCCAATTTCAAGGCGCTACGATCAGCGGCTTAGGCTGTGCGTTGCATGTCGGTCAGTCAGTATCAGGAGAAAGATTCTTATAGTATTAGATAAGTTTATTTATGGTCTTCGTTTATTTAGAGATTGATAAAATGTAATGATTACAGATTAACGATATGACAAATTCAACTCATTCTGATTTATTATTTAGCAATATTAAAGTTTCACTGCTTGCAGAAATGTCATTATCTATAATTATATCATAGTTATCCTATCAAATAAACCGTTAGTATTGAAATGACTATTAAATACGTAACATTCAAGAAACATGTTTTTAACTATCGTTATAGGATCTAATACAAAATCGAAATTAATTCTATACTCATCATTCACTGATTTAACAAGAAAATAAATTTACAAAATTTAGAATTTTATTCAATTTTTAAGAAAGAGCAGCAGTATTCTGTATCTACAGCGACGAACGTAGCAATGTCGCGAAAATAACTCGGATAACAAGTCAAAAAATTTCCTAAAATGAGCAGGGATTTGCCTAATATTTTTTTCCTTTTTTGTGTACAATTTGGCGAAGGAGTGTCTTGTGACGCGCCTGCGGTCGGACATTAGGTAGCGGCATGCGGTCGGCGGTAATAATTATTTAATGTGATCATCGATAATTGCGTTAAAGAGTTGAATGCAAGTTCGGAAACTCGGGAACATATTCCTAACGTCTAGCCTAGTCTAGCTGTCCCCATCGAACTTAACAAATATTATCCTTAATAAGTTCAGTGTTATATTTGAACTGTTTGTTCCGCAACTATCCAGTTAAATACTAATATTTTATGTATTGAATTTAAACAAAAACAACATTTATAAATAATTAGCTTAATTGCGCAGTACAACAGACGACAGAACGAAGGTCGCCGGCTACGAACCCGTTGACCACATATGAGGAAAAATTATGTAGGACTACACAAAACAGTATAATGGCGGTTACCGTTTTTCTATGTTGTTTAGTGTTATTTTATATATAAGGTTAATTATTACCATTTCAGGCAGTTTTAGGTCTCTTGTGGTCTATATTATGATCATTAATACTCAACATATATTTTATAATCTCTATTATCTTCACTTCTCTATCATCATACCATTACGTTATTTATGTATCTTTAGTTGTCTTTGTCGTCATCGTTTTTCATAACAAGTATTGAAATTGTACGAATTTCTCTAACGAAATCAAATAAATAACCGAAGATTGTCGATGTCGAAGATGTGAGTATTAAATAAAATGTTTTTAATAAGATATACGTTTTAGCGTCAACTACAATGTATGAAGTAACAGTCCGCGGTCGGGTGTCGAAATGGGACGGTGTTTTCGGTGGTTGCCGAGTGGATTGTCCTCGGCGTTATCAGCGCTGCTCAACACAACACGTTAATGATGTTAAGTGCGCAGATCGCTAGCAAATATGTGCCTTATGCGCTTGAGTTTACGGTCGTGTGTACATGACGGTGTATTAGGTGGAAGCGAGCGGTCGCGTCACGTGTACGTATGTGTGTACTCCTCGGCGAGCCGTTACATTTATTATAATTTTAATTGTCGCGAGTAGGTACCTACTCTCGCTTCGTTCGCTCATTGCAACAACACGCTGTTGTTTACACAATGTTAAATTAAATACAATACGGTTTTAATGAGGGTCAAAGTAGGTATCTTCTACTCACAAAAGTTAATCGAACATCGTTGTTTTTGTCAAAGAATGATCTTCAATGTACTTGAGAAAAAAATATAAAACAAAAATATTTTTTATTGTTTTTAATCGTCTTGAAAATAAGATTGGGATATTTCTCCATCGAAAATTATTTTTTCGTTTTTGTATATTTTTCACTATCTATGTGATCTTCTGATATTATTTCATCAATTCTGAACATAATGTGTTCAGTTTTTGGTCGTATCGATTTATTTTCTTGCAGTCAAGATATTGCATTAGGTCAGAGTTCCTGGAAGTTCTCTGTGAAGTAGGCTACTTATTTACATGTACACCGGACCACCGAACCGTGCCATCCAACAATTGCACTCAAAATCTTATATGATTATATTGATTAGTTATTTAATATTTTGTTTAGAAAGAATATCTATACTTTTAATCGACTCCAATGAAGAGAAGATTATCAATTCGTCGGAATACTTTTGTGAAATATTTTTTATTTAATAGGGTAATGGTTGACAGATTTACGTTTCTGATTTCAGTTTTTAATGATCAATAATCGATAGCAGTTTGATGAAGTTACCTATGATTTGTGAAACGAAATAAACTCAAGTTATTGGGTATAGTTACCTGAGAATTTGTACTTTTCTCAATTCAGAAACCGGCCGTTAGTGTTGCAGTTTAAATTCATCTTTATTTTACGTAATTGCTTATTATTTTATTTGTTTAACCTGGCAACGTGGCAACTTCTGTGACGTCACTGTTG